GCTGGGGCGCACGTCTCCCCTGCCGCACGCCCCCGGCGAGGGCGGGACAGGGCCGTGCCCCACATGGAGCCCGAGGGCCCAGTCTCGCCTCCTTGGGAGACCCTGTTCGACGCTGACTGGTCGCGGGCCCCCTACGCCATGGCACCGCAACGCACTGCCCGCCCCAATGCCCAGAGGGACGGGCAGTCCAGTGGGGCTCTGCTACTTCGGCCTCGCCACTCCAGGGGCCACCCGGTCGACGTGGGCGAGACTCCCCACGGCCGCCCAGCTGGGTCCAGCCCCGAGGCCGCAATTACGTCCTTCGGGCGACCCTGGGCCCCGCATCCCCGCGGCCCCCCCACGTTGCCCCCGGCGCGGGACCGCAGCGACCCGCCCACCCCTCCCGACCGCAGCGCTCTCTACACCTTCGACGGCATCAACAAGTTTCACACCACTGACGGCCCCTTTGGTGACACGATGACGAGCGCCAACGCAACGTGGTCATCACCTCCCTCGGTTCCTCCCGCCCACCCGGTGGCCCGAGCAGGGCGGAGATCGAGAACGCCTTCCACGTAGCATTCAACGAATGGCTGGAGACTGCGGGCGACCAGGTCAGTCACTGAGGGATGCGCCCGTTTGCCCTTCGCCTCTGCTGCCTCGAGCACGGATTTGCCCGCTCCTAACGCGTGGCGCCAGGCAGATGTTTGCCTTCGTGGGCTGCCGGCCCGCACCACAGCCGCCCTCACTGGGTCTGCTGCCTCACCCTGGCTGGACTCTGCCCACATTTACTTCCCGCCCCCCCGCCAGCCCTGGTCTTGCCATGCCCGCGGCAACCCTTTGCCTCACCCGACGCGGTCATCCTAATAAGGTCCACCAGGAGCTCCTCGACGTCGACCCCGCGTCGCCTATGCATAATTAGCTGTCGATACAGGCTCAGCATCGGCACTTCGTTCCTGCTGCCTCGGGCGCGGATCTGCCCACCCTGGATGCATGGCGCAATTCAGGTTTCGTCTCCTTGAGCTGTCTGCCCGCCCCGCCGCAGCCCCCCACTGGTCCGCCGCCTCGCCCTGGCTCGACCTCGTCCAACTTTTCCGCTCGCCCCCACCCGCCCTCCGCCTTGCACTGGTTTTGCTGGGAGCCGGTGGCTTTCTGCGTCGCCTGACGCGGTCATTGGATGTTCCGCCGGGAGCCCCTCGGCGTCGACCCCGCGTCGCCAGAGCCCAGCCGGCGATGCGGGCTCAGCTCGTCCCCAGCCTGGTCCTGGGCCTGCCGGGCCGGCTGGATGACGCGCCGCCTGCCCGTCGCGCTCGGCCATGCGTCTGCTCGCCCGCCGAGGCTCGATCCGCTAAGAGCCATTCGGCGTCGATCGCTGCGTCGGCTGGCTCCCGCTCGCGGGGCCCGCCCCCCTTCGCGGCCCGCTGCGCTCCTGGGGCGGCGTCCGCGCTCTCGGTGTGCGCGCCGCCTCTGGACGCTCGGCCTCTTTTCCTGGCGGCCCGCCGCGCTGTTTCGGCCACTTGGCCGCCCTGCCCCGTCTGCTGATAGGGCCTCGCCCGCTTGGGCACCCGCTTTGGTTCTGCTCCCCGGCCCGCTCTCTGCCCCCCTCGCTGGCGCGGCCGCCCCGCCCCGCCCCGCCCCGCCCGCCTGCCCTCGGCCCTCGGCCTGCTGGGCTCGCCCGTGCGCCGTCGCTTCTCCTTGGCCCCGGCCGCCCGCCTCTGGTCGCCCCCCCCGCTGCCGCGAGCTCCTTCTTCGTTCGCCCGCCCACTCTGGCGTGGCGCCACCTTGGGCGTTGCTCGCCCCGCCCCCGCCGACCGCGGCCCCCACGCCGCCCCGCCGCCCAGCCACTGCCCCGTGAGGGGGCGGCCGTCTTCCCTGTCTGTTCTTCCCGCCGACGCTGCGCGCGCGCGGCTCTGGCCGCGGGGGCGCCCGACACCCTGGCGGGCGAGTAGCCGGGCTGCGACGACCTAGTAGTGTGCGCGTGTGCCTATGAAATGGAGAGAAAGAGAGAGAGAGAGAGAGAGAGAGCATGCGAGAGAAGGGAGAGACAGACAGAGAGAGGGTGAGAGCATGTTGCGTGTGTAGATGTACCCTCCATTTCTGCCGCGACTGTGCTGTCAGCTCTCGGCTGTTCCACCACGGTCCTGCCACCCATTGGGGCCTGCTTCGTCCCACCGTCTGCCTTGGTCGGACAGTGTGCATGATGCCCCTCTTTGGTCGCATGCTCTGCCCCTCCTTCGGAGTGCCGTTGCACTTTTACACTGCGCAGTCCTTGGTTCTTGCAGTGCACACCTCCACTATCCCCCACTCTCTCACTTTCCCACTCACCCCACCTGGCGGCCTTCCCAATGGTGACCTGGTAATCCCCTGTATGCGGATCCCTGGTCCCCACGCCGCGTGTTCTAGACTGTCTCTCGCCCAACTGCCTACACCGCGCCGACGCGCGCGTGGCCGCAACGCCAAAAAGTGTGCGTGCGTGTGCGTGTGGGTGTGGGTGTGCGTGTGCGTGTGCGTGTGTGCGTGTGTGCGTGTGTGCGTGTGTGCGTGTGTGTGCGTGTGTGTGTGAATGTGTGTGTGTGTGCGTGTGCGCGTGCGTGTGCGTGTGCGTGTGCGTGTGCGTGTGCGTGTGCGTGCGTGTGTGTGTGTGTGTGTGTGTGTGTGTGCGTGTGTGTGTGTGTGCGTGCGTGCGTGCGTGCGTGCGTGCGTGCGTGCGTGCGTGCGTGCGTGCGTGCGTGCGCGTGCGTGTGCGTGCGTGCGTGCGTGTGCGCGTTCGTGCGCGTGCGCGCGTGTGCGTGTGTGCGTGTGTGCGTGTGTGCGTGTATGCGTGTGTGCGTGCGTGCGTGCGTGCGTGCGTGCGTGCGTGCGTGTGTGTGTGTGTGTCTGTGTGTGTGCGTGTGCGTGTGTGCGTGTGTGTGCGTGTGTATGTCGGTGTGTGTGTGTGACTGTGTGCGTGCGTGCGTGCGTGCGTACGTGCGTGTGCGCGCGTGTGTGTGTGTGTGTGTGTGTGTGCGTGTGCGTGTGTGCGTGTGTGTGTGTGCGTGTGTGTGTGTGGGTGTGTGTGTGTGTGCGGGTGCGTGTGTGTGTGTGTGTGGGTGGGTACGTGCCTACCTCGACCCTCCTCCCCTCTCCTCCTCAGACTTCTCCATTCCATGTCCGTACCCATCCTCCACGTCCTCCCCCTCCCACCACTCCCCCCCCCACACCCACCCTCCGCCCAGCCCTACCGCCTGCCTCCTTCCCCCTCCTCCTCCGTTTTCGCCCCCCCCCCTCTCCCACCTCCCTCCCCACTTCCCCTCCCCGCTCTCTCGCCTGAGGAGGGCTTCCACCTCTGCGCCCCCCCCCCCCGCCGCACGGCCAGTCCCCTCCCCGCTGTCTCGTCTGAGGAGGGCCTCCACCTCTGCGCACCCCGCCTGCCACACGGCCAGTCCTCATCCTTGATCGCTCTCGAGTACATCTTCATCGCACCTGGGGCGCGAGGCCCTCCGCCGAAGCAGCAGCAGCAGCAGCAGCAGCAGCAGCAGCAACAGCAGCAGCAGCAGCAGCAGGGACGGAAGGGGAGGCGGGGAGAAAGCGAGCGAACGACGAGCAGGCGGCCACGGGGGCCATGGCTGAGACTAGAGGGGTGAGGCCGCGGTCTCTGGAAGCTGGCCTGGCCAGACGACATGCACTGCCACACGTTCTGGAGTTAGCTCCCTTTCTCTCTCTCTCTCTCTTTCTCTCTCTGCCTTCCCTCCTTTTTTATATGTCTATGTTTTGTTGTTTCTCTCTCTCTCTCTCTTTCTCTGTGCCTGTCCCTCCTTTTCTCTCTCTCTCTCTCTGTATCTCTCTCTCTCTCTCGATCTCCCAGACACACACACACACCAAATAACTTGATGGCAGGGAGGCGGGGAGGGCGAGGGAAAATTCTAGGACGCTTGAGGGGGGTCTCCTCCTGGGTGTGGCGCGTGTGATTCGTGCTGGAGGGCGGCGTCGATGGGACTCTCACAGCACACCTGGGTGCTGAAAGTGGCAAACCCGAGGGAGCTTTTGCGCAGTCTTGCGCCGAGGTGGTGCCCGCCTGCCACCCTGGAGCGCATTGCCGAAGCATGCGCGTTCATGCAGGATGACGGCCAGGAAAAAAACACACGGGGGACCGATGAAGAACATAATTGTCTGATGCTGTCTGCCGTGGGATAGGGGACTCTTCACAGAGGGCGATACCCTCAGGTCCAGAGGTCGCTCAACCTTGAGCGCCAGCGCCAGCGTAGTCGCCGCGTCGACGCGAGCCCGCTCTAGAGCAGCAAGAGCAGCAAGAGCGATAAGCTGTCGGAGGTCCGCTCAGATTCGTTCGGTCTGCGCTAAGCCCCCGCCCCTCTCCACACGCCAGGGGCGCAGCCAGCGGCGCTGCCAAGAAACCAATACAGACCTCCGAACGTGTATGCTCATACACCTTTACTAAAACTCCATCTTTACAATCTGTTTTACCACATTGCTTATTCTACGTGTTCTGGTTTATGTAAGCTGCTGCCGGTAAAGCCCGTGAAATTCTTCATGTTCTGAGCACGCACTCCAACTTTGCATCCCCCCGCGACAATCCTCCTCTTCCCACGTCCCGCGCATCCTGTGACTAACGTCCCGATCAGCCGTCCTGACAACGCTGTGCGTTCGCCAGCGCCGCGACCAAAAAAAAACAATTGTTTGAGCACTGCAATGTTGGAACAGGGACGGAACGGACCGTCCCACCACTCTATGCCTACCACGAACTTGCTTGGAACGGAAACTATTTCAATAATCGGAGAAATGTAAGTAGAAACTGGTTGACTCAAACAAGACTGTCCGAGCCAGTATTGTCCTGAGAGCAATCTCGTGCAAATCACAGGAAGGCCATATTAGAGGACTTGGTCGGCCTGTAGGCATGCCAGGACGCATCACCCCTGATTGAAATGTACTTGCAACATCCGTGGCACCAGTGACGTCCTTGTTGCACGCGTGCACCCTGCAGGCCAGCAGCAGAAGGGCCGACAACTCCTCCGGCTCCTGCGGCTCCTCTATGTCCTTGAGCACGGCCATCGCCTGCCTATACTTCTGCAGACGCCAGGGAGAGACGAGGGCTCTGGGCGTCATGGCGGACCGTATGTAGGTATGCGCCAGGGGAAACAGCACTTCAGGATGTTCGAATACCTCCTCCTACTCCTCCCCCTCTCGTCTTCTCTCCCTATCCTCTTCTCTCCTCGTCTTCCTCCTCATCCTACTCTACCCCCTCCAGGAGGCCAATCGAAGGCGAAAATCGTTCAGCCCCTATCATCCTTCCCCATCTCTTCTCCTAGCTACGAACTCTTCATCCTGCTCTCTCAGCTCGCCCTCCTTCGTGAAGTGCGGCGCGGGGCATCCCAGGACTAAGAAGATCGACCACCCCTGAAAAACCCACTAACCAACTCGAGAGCCACACTAACACAACTCCTCCTTGCTCCTCGCCCTCCTCGTGGTCCTCCCCCGCGCCCAGGACCAACACCAAAGAGTTCCTTAAAACCTTTGAAAGCCTCCCAGACAGCCTCGGATCCTCCTTCTCCTCCTCCTATACCTCCCCCCCTCACTCCTCCCACTCTTCCTGCTCCTCAACCTCTTCCTCGTGCCTCCCCATCCTCCATCACTGTCTTTCTGCCCCCTCGTCCATTCTCCTCCTACCCGTCTGCTTCCCTTTTAGGTTCCTCCATCCTTCTCTTCCTCCTGCTCCCCCTCCTCGAAATCCTAGGCGCCCAAAGACATCGCCCCTCAACTGATAGTACGACGACTCGCAGAGCTTCAACAAGAAGCAAAACCTGCCGAAGCGAACAGGCGGACTGGGGATGCAGATGGGGGGAGGGAGAAGGGACAACGGAAGGGGAGGGAGAGGGCGGCAGAGGAGAAAAATTGGAAGGGAGGATATTGGGACGAGGATGACAAGGGAGAGCAGGAGGGGGGGCAGAAGGCGAAGGATGAGCATGAGGACGATGACGAGAAGCGTGTTTTCGGGTTTTGCAGCCCACTGTGGAAGCCTCCGAGGAGTAGGCGATCACACGATGAGGACAAATACGAACGAGGAGTACTAGGAAGGTGGGGCGGATCAACGAACGTTGGGGAGGGGGCGGGGAGGAGTGAGGGAGAGGAGGCGAATCAGGAAGAGGAGGAGGATGGACGGAGCAGGAAAGAATCCTGGAGGGAAGGTGCGAGGGGAGGACGCGGAGGGAGGAGGCCAAACATGGAGGGAGGATCAGGACGAGGCGAACAAGAATGCGTCTACGTAACTCTTCCCAAAACACATGCTTGCACTCTCAGGGTTTTTGTTTTTGCTTCGCTTTGAGGTTACTGGGCCCCCGTGCCGGCCCGGCCAGCCTGCAGCCACCCGTCGCTGCCCGTCGCCGCCGTCCGTCGCCGCCGCAACGGGGCCTCAATGCCGCCGCGGCGGGCCCGTGGCCGCCCGCCGCCGCAGTCCGTCGCCGCCGTCCGCCGCGGTCCGTCGACGCCACTTGCGCCGCGCTGATTTGCGGTGCTTTGCATTGCACTGCATTGCTTTGCGTGGCTGTGCTTTACTCTGCATGGCTTACATCGCTTTGCATTGCTTCGCGTTGCTTTGCATCGCATTCCCTTCAATTGCTTGGCGTTTAATCCCTGTGCTACGCATTGCTTGGCATCGCATTGAATCGCGTTGCATGGCATTGGGTTGCATTGCTTTGAACCGCCGTGTATCTCACTTGGTATTGCTTTGCATCGCATCGCATCGCTATGCATTGTTATGCATTGCTATGCAATGCATTGGTTTGCATTGCCCTGCATGGACGGATTGCTTTGCAGTGCGTTGCGTTGCTTTGCATTGATATGCATTGCTTTGAGGTGCTTTGCAATTAACTTATTTGCACAGCTTTGCATTGCTCTGCACTGCTTTGCACCGCGTTGCATTTCGCTGCGTGTCCCGCGCGCAGGCGCTTGCTTAATCAGGGTGCCGGTTGGGCATGATCATGCGAACGCGAACGCGTACTGTGCATGCAAGCTTTCGCGTGTTGAATCTGTCATACCCGCTAAAAGGCGCTCCTAATATGTGTGGTATGTAGTGCTGAACCGCCGTGCGTTGTACCTAACGTTCTTAAGGTGTTCGCATGTGGGCAATTCCAGGCTCAAGGTAATTCCAGGTTTTTGCTCCTTCCTCACAAACCCGAAGTCAAAATTCAGAGAATCCATATTCGAGCAGATCCTCCTCTTCCTCCCCCTCATTCTCCACCTTCATTCGCCCCTGTTTATCAATCCTCCTTTTCATGTACCGGTTTCTCCCTCTCGTACCTGCTCGCGCACTTCCGACATATCGATGTACCCTCTGTGCCCCCCGCGCTGAGAGAGGCCCAGCAACGCCCCGACAGAAGTCAACTTGGGTCGCAGTCCCAGCGGGGAGCGTTGCGCACTGCATGCGCAGTTCCCCGCGAAGACGCACCGTTTCGGCATCGGTCGGCGACGCCAGGGCGCCCAGCTGCCCCCGAGGGTTCAGCCAACTCCGTCGCCGCCCGTGGCCACCCGTCGCCGCCGCCGCCGCCGCTCGCAGCTGAGCCCCGATGCCGCTTCAACTCGCCCTTCGCCGCCCGTCGCCTCCCAACGCAGCCGGCATCGCCGCTGGCAGCTGAGCCCCAGTGCCGCACCAGCCCGCTCGTGGCCGCCCGTCGCCGCCGTGACCGCTGGTCGCACTGGTTGCATCACGTAGCATTGTTTTGCATTGCGCTGCATCGTATTGGACTGTCTCGCATTGATCTCCGTTACTCTGCATGTATTTGCGTAGCATTGCGCTGTTTTTCACTACGTTGCGTGGCTTTGCTTTACTGTGCATCGCATTGTATTGTTTTGCATTACTTTGCATAACATCGGGTGTCGTTGCTGCGCATTGCTCTGCATTGTGCTCCATTGCGTTGCATTGCTTTGCGTTGCTTAGCGTGGCGTTGCATTGCTCTCCATTTCTCTTCATCGGTTTGCATTACATTGCGTTGCTTTACTTCGAAATGGATTGCCTTGGTTTGCTTTGAGTTGTATGGCTCTGCATGTCTTTGCATCGCATTGCATTGCCTGGACTTGCTGTGCGTGGCGTTGCATTGCTGTGCATCGCAGCGCGTTGCTTTGCATCGATTTGCATAGCATCGATGTGTGTTGCATGGCTTTGCACTGCGTGTCGTTGCTTTGCATTGCCCTGCAATGGTTTGCATAATTTGTATGGCTGTGCCGTGCTTTGCATTGCTTTGCGTTGCACGGCGTTCGTTGTTCTTCATCGACTTGCATTGCTTTGCATTGGTTCGCAATGCTTTGTATCGCATTGGATTGAACTGGCGCGAATTAAGTTGCATTGCGTTGCATCGCATTTGATGACCTTGACTTGCTTCGCTTTGTAACACATTGCATTGCTTTGCGTTGGTTCGCACTGCTTTCCACTGCGTGTTTTGATTTGCATCTATCTGCTGTGATCAACTCTTTTGTTGCAATGCAGGTCGTTGCGTTGCATTGCTGCGCAGTGCTTGGCACCATATCGATTGCACTACCCAGACTGCACCGCATATATTGCAATAACTCAATAACATCACTGTTTGGGGTCCACGCTAACTAACATGTCAACATATGCGGAGAAAAAGAGAGAGAGCAAACAGATGAAAGAGCGAGAGAGAGGAACGAAGGAGATACCAGGAGGAGAGCGAAATAGACAGAGAGAGAGAGAGAGCGAGGGAGAAGGAGAGAAAGAGAGAGAAAGAGAGAGAGAGAGAGAAACACAAAAAAAAGCAGAGCCAAACCCGCTGTCCGCCGGTCGCCCACAGCTCCGTGCGCGCTATCGCAGTCCAGGACTGGCGCTCTCAGCGGAAAGGAGGCGCGGCGTGAGGGAGGAGTAGTAGGAGGAGCCAGGAGAAATGCAGAGCAATGGGAGCTAGAGGATTGCGAGGAGGCGGCGGAATCGGAACCGGATGCTCGCGTCCTCGATCTCGTTCGCGCGCTTCCAGCCTCGCCAAGCGGTTGGTAACAAGAAAGACTGGGGCGGGGGCCAACGGCAGGCGTTCGGCGGGGGCACGCCGTGCGACCTTGGGGGGGCAGGAACGGCGCAAAGAGCAGGCAGGGGGGGTCGAGCAGGAGGACGAGCATGAGGAGGAGGCAGGAGGGGGGTAAGAAACAGGCAGGAGGGGGGGTGGAGCAGGAGGACGAGGATGAGGAGGAGGTAAGGGGGGGGGAACGGTGGCGCAATTGATGAGTGAGGAGGAGAAGCAGGAGTTGTTCCCCCACCCGCCCCAGGTTGCGCCGAGGCCGTTTGACACGTTCCCACCGAGCGCGGAGGACGACGAGGGAACAAGGGAGAAGAGGAGGAAGACGAGGCCGAGGAGAAAGCAGCGACAACCCCAAAGCGCAGAGGCGACACCGACGGAGGACAGGACGCAGAGACAAGACAGGAAAGGGGTGGCGACAGGAGGATCTCACATTGTGGAGGCCAGCCCACAAGAAAGTTTCCACAAGAAACCCAACCCTGAGACCCCGGGATTTTTGGTGTGGGAACAGCAGCAAGCAGGGTGTTTCTTGGCATGGGTCTCCACTGCTACGGCGATAATGTCCGACCCAAAACCAGACTCGCACCTCAGCCAGACCCGCTGCCAGGATCAATTTCGCGACCAGCATGCCTTCCCACTGCGTCGTGCTAGAAGGATTGCCACATTCGCGAAGGAATTTCGGGCAGATCCCGCATATTCGCCATCGGGACAATTGAACCTTCAAAAATATTAAGTTGGCCTTGCGAATCCCTGGCCATCAAGGAAAGTGGCCATCAAGGAAAGTGGCGCAGAGATCGACGAACAACTCAAGAGGCCAATCGCGGCGCTGACACAATTTCAATAACGTAGTCACAGCAACGTCCTCGTAGGCGAAGCCCAAATTCTTGAAGAGGATCCCCCGCAACATCCGAGGAGGATCAGCATCGCTAGAGTGCAAAGCAACGTCTCCACCTCTACGCGCAGACGCAAAAACCGCAGGAATGGGAGCACCACTAGCACGTGGGGGTAAGAACGAATGCGTATCGCAACTGAGCTGCTCCAACGCAGCGTGAACCTCAACCATATGACCTGTCTGACGGCGCACCGCTGCAGCACCGCAGAAAGAAATTTATATAGCCTGAAACTTCGAGCCCCGAAGGTGTCCAAGTAGCTGCTCGACGATAGTTAAGATCAGAACCGGGAAGGGCAGGAACAAACTCGCCCATGAACCACCGCAGCAATAGAACTGACATGGGCCCACGGTGGCCAGAATCCCATCATGTGCCACTCTGCAAAAAGGCGACTGCGAGTTCGTGCAGCCCCGTGCCACGAGAAGACTCAAGGAGATAACCCTCACGAGCTGGATCCCTATCTCCATCAGGATCTGGACTGCGAAGCGATTCAGCAACATAGTCACGTAGAAGCACAGGCGCTGCGCCATGCTCCACATGTTGATCATCAGGATCATCGCGACAATCAGGAACGCCCAGGCAAAGGAGCGTAGCCATGAAGATCTTGGAAAAGAGCGCGCACCTTGTCTCCAGAAGGGCAGAAAGGTAGGTGCCGCCGTGTTGCGTGGGGAACGGGAGAACAGCCGTTAGAGGAAGAGCAATGGGTTGATGCCAAGGTGCCCAGGGTGTACCTGCCGTAGACCACGGGTCGCCTGAACCAGACTGCCACGGGGCCAGGAGCAGGGCTCTGTGCATCACCATCATCGTCGCGATCACGTCGAGAACCGCGCGGACCTCCATGACCAGCACAGAGATCATCGCCAACACAATTCCGCGCGTCAAAGTGCTGCGCCTGCTCAAGCCACGGGGAGAGCCACAACCCAAACTCATGGCGAACATCACTGTGACGATGACCACGTTCGGCAACCGTGTGAAAGTACACGATTTGGCTGATAACATCGAGCATGCTCATGGCCGCAGTGTCCAAAGGAGAGGACGGCTGGGCTTCGTCGACTATCAGCTCGATTTTGTACCTCCCTTGCGTCGCCGCGCCGACAGCAGAGATCTGCTGCACCAACCGCCGACACCATGCCAGTCGAGCCGCGACGACCATCCCGTCCCTCGCGCGGGCGCAGTTGCGTCCAGGAAGCCCTGGGCCAGGCAGATGCCTGTGCCAAACGAGCTATATAGGAGGAGGGGAGGAGGAGGAGGAGGAGGAGGAGGAGGAGGAGGAGGAGGAGAAGGAGGAGGAGGAGGAAGAAAATGTGGAGTGGGAGGAGGAGGAGGAGGAGAAAGGAGGAGGAGTAGGAGTAAGGAGAACCGAAAGGGGGAGGCAGAGGAGAAGGAGGAGGAAGAAGAAGAGGAGGAGGATGAGGAGGAAAGGGGAGAGGAGTAGGAGGAGAAGGATGATGATGATGATGATGATGATGATGATGATGATGATGAGGAGGAGGAGGAGGAGGAGGAGGAGGAGGAGGGGGATGAGGTGGAGGGAGAGGAGGAGGAAGAGGCAGGACAGGGTGTAGAGCAGAGAGGAGAAGGAGGCGGAGGAGGAGGAAAGGGGATATGAGGAGCGAAGCGTACAACAAAGGGGATATGAGGAGGAGGAGGACGAGGAGGGGGGAGTCTGGATGGGAGAGGAGCAGGTAGGAGCAGCAGGACGAAGAGGGACAACATTCAGTGAAGGGGGGAGAGATTGGAGGGTGGAGGACGGGGAGGGCATAAGAAGCGAAGGCAGGGGGAGAGAGGAACAGCAGGCGAAGAAAGCGAGAAGTGAAAGAAACGATCGACCAGCCACAATTTCTCGGAACCGGGGCCCTCTTAGCTGGCTCGCGACTGCAGAGAACAACCCGAAGGCATTCAAAACCTCCGACCATGTCACCGAACACGTCCGAAAGTATCCTGCCTCCTCCTCCTCCTCCTGCATCCTCGGCATTCCTCCTCCCCCTCCTCCTCCTACTCTTCATCCAGCGTCTCCTCCTCATTATCCTCTTCCTCCTCTTCCTCCTCCTCCTCCTCCTCCTCCTCCCCCTCCTCCTCCTACTCCTCCTCCTCCTCCTCCTCCTGCTGCGTCCCCCCAATCCTCCGCACCCCTCCGACTCCTCCCACGTGGTCCACCGCCTCGCAGCAAGGCAATCTCGCACTTGTCGTACTGCGCCTCGTTGGCGTAACAGCGGCCCAGCTCGTTGATCCGGCACATGTTCATAGGGCAATCCTGGGGAGCTCGAGGCCAACGGCAGCGGCAATCTCCAACGACGAAGTCTTTGACCGCATGCCAGGCCTTCGGGTTTGGTCCCTCCTTGCACGTCCCTCTCCCTCATGCCATGGGGAATGAGGAGAGGGAAGGGGCGAGGGAGGGGACAGCGCCGGAAATGGATAGAGAGACGGAGGGTGCAATGAGAGAATGCATAACGTTTTGAGGCAGATGAAATAGGGCAATGTCGTGTCAGGCTTGAAGTCTCACAGGAAGACTCGCGATCTGGCCGCTCGAGTGCGCCTGACAAGGCCGTCAGAGAAATGGTGGGACCGACGCTGAAGTTCTACGCGAACTCCTGCTGCAAACACCTCATGAACATGGGGCCGCCACAGCCCACGCAGGGACCGTCGAGAGGCGGCGGCAAACCAAGGCTGTGGCAAAACCGAACCTTGCGCTTCCCCGACCGATCCTCCTCCTCCCCCTCCCCCCTTTCCGCTTCCGTGTTCTTAGTTTCAGCCCCGAGCTCCTGGGGCCGAGCAGAGCCTGGGCCGAGGCGCCTGTATGGGAGCGAGGTGGGCACCCACACAGGCTGAAGAGGAAATAGAAACGCCCGGGCACAGGGGACCGACTGCGCGAGTCTGAAGATCCCGGATCATAGCCTGAGTGCTGAGGCTTCTCCGAAGGCTCCCCGCGAGAGGCTTCCGCCTGTCCGTGTGTGTGTGTGTGTGTGTGGGTGTGGGTGTGGGTGTGGGTGTGGGTGGGTGGGGGGGGGCTAACGTCCGAAGACATGATTCTCCATCTGCGGCCCCAACGGTCCCGACCGCTTCCCCAGTGGAAGCTGTTCGTCCCGAGTTCATGCGCGATGGCCCCCGAGCCCGAGAATGGGCCCGACCAGAACAGAGGCCGAACTCGAGGAAAACCGCCCAGATTGGAAGCAACATCTCGTCGGAAGTCTGGGAGGACCGGGGGCGACGACGGGGGCGAACAGCGCAGGGATGAGCAATACGTGCATCCAAGGGCGCCGATGGCCCACGCGTTCGGCGGGGCCCCTGGGCCAACACGTGTAGTGCCTCCCCTGGGCTATTCGCCCCTATCGCCACCTCCGAGAGGATAGAAGCCTCCAGATAGGGTCGGAGTAGATGGAGCCGGGAGATCGCGCCGCATCGCGGGTGCATCGGCGACGCATCACCGATGCATCGGCGATGCACTGGCCACGTCAGGCTCGACATCGAGCCGCATCGCCGATGCACCGGCGATGCGGCGCGATCTTTCGACGCCATCTGCTCGGACCCCATCTTGGAGGCCTGGATCATCGTCGCCTCCGAGAGGAGGGGCCGCAAGGGCGAGGTCTCTCTGCCCCCTGGCGTCCGCCAACGCGTCCCTCGCCCGCTTCGTCTCCTCGCGCCCCGGGGGGGCGGCGGCGACCCTGCATCCCGCGTGGAGGTGGACCGCGGGCCCGACGAAAGGGAGGGAGGAGGGAGGAGGACAACAGAAACAACAGCAACAAGGGGGAGGGAGCAGGAGGAGGGCGAGGAATAAAAGGTGGAGGAGGAGGAAGAGGAGGAACAGAAGAGGAGGAGGAGGAGGAGGAGGAGGAGGAGGAGGAGGAAAGGACCAGTGCAAGCCCAAGACTCATCAACGATATTGGAATACATCCTCCCTCGACGATCACGACTACTACGATGCTAGTCGTAGCAGTAGTAGTAGTAGTAGTAGTAGTAGTAGTAGAAGTAGTAGTAGTAGTAGTAGTAGTAGTAGTAGTAGTAGTCGTAGTAGTAGTAGTAGTCGTAGTAGTCGTAGTAGTAGTAGTAGTAGCAGTAGTAGTAGTAGTAGTAGTAGTAGTGGTAGTAGTAGTAGTATTAGCAGTAGTAGTAGTAGTAGTAGTAGTAGTAGTAGTAGTAGTAGTAGTAGTAGTAGTAGTAGTAGTAGTAGTAGTAGTAGTAGTAGTAGCAGTAGCAGTAGTAGTAGTAGTAGTAGAAGCAGTAGTAGTAGTAGTAGTAGTAGTAGTAGTAGTAGTAGGAGTAGTAGTAGCAGTCGTAGTAGTAGTAGTAGTAGTAGTAGTAGTAGTAGTAGTAGTAGTAGTAGTAGTAGTAGTAGTAATAGTAGTAGTAGTAGTAGTAGTAGTAGTAGTAGTAGTAGTAGTGGCAGTGGTAGTAGTAGTAGTACTACTACTACTACTACTACGAGTACTACGAGTGGCAGTAACAATAGGAGTCCCAGCAGCAGTAGTAGTAGTAGTAGTAGTAGTAGCCGTGCAGTCGTCGTAGTCCGAGTAGGAAAAAAGTGGCATTGGTGGTAGTAGTAGTAATAGAAGTAGTTGTTGTCGTAGCAGTGGTGATAATCGTAGGAGTCGTCGTCGCCGTCGTAGTAGTAGTTATATTGGAATTATTAGAACTACCACTAAAACTAATACTTAAAGTAGTTGTTGTAGAAGTGCTATTACTGGTAGTCGTAGTCGTAGTCGTAGTCGTAGTAGTAGTAGTAGTAGTAGTAGTAGTAGTAGTAGTAGTAGTAGTAGTAGTAGTGGTAGTAGTAGTAGTAGTACTAGTAGTAGAAGTAGTCATGAGAATTGTAGCGGTGGCACTCAGAATAGCAGCAGTACTAAGACCAGTAGTAATAATAAGAATCGTAAGATAAACGATAGTAACATTATCCTGGCGAAGGACCCAACCATATGCAAACGTGAATACCGCAGGGCAAATGGGACGAAGCAAAAGGAATTCCCAATATGGCCACGAACCGTGTGAGGGGTGCGCCACGCTGGGGCGGGGCCGCCATGCGAACCCTGCCACTGAGGCCTTCGGTGGAGCTCCCTATGTCCCTACGGGGCCACGAACCGTGTGAGGGGTGCGCCAATATGGGGCGGGGCCGCCATGCGAACCCTGCCACTGGGGCCTTCGGTGGAGCTCCCTATGGGGCCACGAACCGTGTGAGGGGTGCGCCAAAATGGGGCGGGGCCGCCATGCGAACCCTGCCACTGGGGCCTTCGGTGGAGCTCCCTATGGGGCCACGAACCGTGTGAGGGGTGCGCCAAAATGGGGCGGGGCCGCCATGCGAACCCTGCCACTGGGGCCTTCGGTGGAGCTCCCTATGGGGCCACGAACCGTGTGAGGGGTGCGCCAAAATGAGGCGGGGCCGCCATGCGAACCCTGCCACTGAGGCCTTTAGTGGAGCTCCCTATGGGGCCACGAACCGTGTGAGGGGTGCGCCAAAATGGGCGGGGCCGCCATGCGAACCCTGCCACTGGGGCCTTCGGTGGAGCTCCCTATGGGGCCACGAACTGTGTGAGGGGTGCGCCAAAATGGGGCGGGGCCGCCATGCGAACCCTGCCACTGGGGCCTTCGGTGGAACTCCCTATGGGGCCACGAACCGTGTGAGGGGTGCGCCAAAATGAGGCGGGGCCACCATGCGAACCCTTCCACTGAGGCCTTTAGTGGAGCTCCCTATGGGGCCACGAACCGTGTGAGGGGTGCGCCAAAATGGGCGGGGCCGCCATGCCTGCCACTGGGGCCTTCGGTGGAGCTCCCTATGGGGCCACGAACTGTGTGAGGGGTGCGCCAATATGGGGCGGGGCCGCCATGCGAACCCTGCCACTGGGGGCTTCGGTGGAGCTCCCTATGGGGCCACGAGCCGTGTGATGGGTGTGCCGAAATAGAAGCATGCGGAGGGTGATGGTGATGATGACGACCATGTTGGTGCTGATGATGATGACGATGACGATGATGATGATGGTGGGTGATGACGATGATGCTGATGATGATGAGACGAGGAGGGAGGAGGCAGCGGGAGGAGGAGGAAGGAGGAAGGAACGCGGGGCACCGTCTCTTCAAAACGAGGACCCAACACCACAGGATGGTTGGGAAATAATAGTAGTAATCGTAAGCGTAATAATCGAACTCGTAGTCGTAATCGTAGTTGAAGTAGTAATGCCAGTCGTAGAAGTAGTCGTAGTAGTAGTAGTAGTAGTAGTAGTCGTAGTCGTAGTAGTCGTAGTAGTAGCAGCAGCAGCAGCAGCAGCAGCAGCAGCAGTAGTAGTAGTAGTAGTAGTAGTAGTCTTAGTAGTAGTAGTAGTAGAAATAATAAGAGTCGTAGTGGTAGTAGTAAAATAAACGTTACAGTTGTAGTAGAACGCGTGGAAGCACTAACATTAGAAGTAGTACTAAGAATGGTCGAGGAGGAAGTAGAAGTAAGACTAGTAGTACTTCTCGTCGTCGTAGTAGTAGTTAAACTGGTCGTAGTCGCAAAAATACGTGTAGTAGTAGAAGTAGTACTCGTAATCATTGTTGTGCTGGGTCGTCGTCGTAGTGGTACAAGTCGTGCTGGCAGTAGTCGTAGTAGTAGTAGTAGTAGTCGTAGTAGTAGTAGTAGTAGTAGTAGTAGTAGTAGTAGTGGTAGTAGTAGTAGTAGTAGCAGTAGCAGTAGTAGTAGTAGTAGTCGTAGTAGTAGTAGTAGTAGTAGTAGTAGTCGTAGAAATAAGAGTCGTACGAGTAGTACTCGTAATTATCGTTATAGTCGCGGCAACAACCAGAGTAATAGTAGTCGTACAGGTTTTAATAGCAGTCGTAGTTATAGTAGTAGAAATAGTAGTAGTAGTAGTAGTAGAAGAAGAAGAAGTAGAAGTAGAAGTGGTGGTGGAGTTGGCAGCAATAACAGAAGTAGCAGTAGAAGTAATAGTAGTAGTAGTAGTAGTAGTCGTAGTAGTAGTAGGAGTAGTAGTAGGAGTAGTAGTAGTAGTCGTAGTAGTAAAAGTGGTGGTAGTCGCACTCGTCGTACGAGCCGTCATTGCCCATATCACCCCCTACTTAGGAAAGCTGTCAAGAAAAAATGCAGTTGTTAGTTGGAATCGTAATAACGCAAATGCTCGCGATGATACTAATAACGATCACGATAAAAATAATCATAAAACTGAACATGATAATAAGAAAACTAACCAGGGTAATGACGGTAATGGCAAACGTCCTAATAATTGCCTGCTTGGTTCGCCAGGCGATAGCCTGCCCTCAACCTCCTGCACGTCGAATTCTCTGCAGAGCTGAACCTCTGGTGGAGCTGAGCAATCGAGAGATCTGTCATGCTGGCGGTCTCCGGCGTCTTCCAATCCGTCGAAATATCCTCAAACTCCCCCCAGGTCTCTTCCCGCCACCTCCGACCGTCGTTCTCCCGCCAATCGCTCGAAGATGAGCGCCGTCTCTGTGCGCCCTTCCTCCGGCGCAACCATTCTCGACTGTCTTCCCAGGGACGTTGGTCCTCAAGTTGGCGTTGGCTGGCGTTGTCCGCTTGCGCGTTGACCGATTGCCTCCTTCCGTCTGAGCGTTGGATTCGCGTCTCTGCTCCGTCTGCGCGTTAGAATCTGCGCCCTGAGCCTCGCGAGCTCGGCGTTCCACCATCTTCGTCATCGTCGCCAGCTCTGCTTACCACGATCGGCGCTAGAGGATGATTTCAGATCGCGAGTGGCGCGCGCTTTTTTTGCTCGGGGAACCCTGGGTGCGACGCCACTCTCACCTCTTACGATACATGAGAGGCCCAAGCCCAAAGGGCTGCGGATGTGACTCTTAACAAACACGAGCGATCCAAAGAGAGAAAGGGAAGATAGGCCACATAAGAACAACAACATCATCATAAACTTGAGGAAAGAGATCCGCGCGGACGTCGTGGATCGTGGTTGAGCCCCCCAGGCGGCGACCACACCGCCACCCCTATCGCGATCCGCGCGCCAGCGGAGGGAGGTCCACGCGGACCTGGGAAAGTCTGCATGTATGTTTTTCGTTTCCTTTACAGGCTACTGCCGTACAGGGTCTGAATTGCATTTAACAGCCCCGCTTGTGAGATCTGCCACCGAACCGCTGGGCGCGGAGTGATCGTGTCCTTAGGTCCTGTGCCCAATCCCTTGAACCTCAATCCTCGATCGTACGTTCTTAAGAGAAGGCCCGGACCCAATTTGCTGGGGTGCTCCGAAATGGATTGGCGGAGCGCCGTTCCGCTAATTGGTTTCGAACCAACTGCTTCACTCCAATTAGCAGAGCGCCGCTCCGCTATGGCTTCGAACCAAGGGATTACTATTGCTTCGCTCCCTCTCACGGAACGCCGCTCCGCCAATTGGCACCGGACCAAAAAGATTACGATTGCTTCGCTCCCATTAGCGGGGGGCCGCGCCGCCAATTGGCCTCGAACCGAAATATTACGATCGCTCCGTTCTCATCAGCGGAGCGCCGCTCCGCGAATTCGCCTCGAACCACGAATTACGATCGCCTCGCTCCCATTCGAAGAGAAGCGCTCCGCGAATTGGCCTTGAACCTGGGGATTACATTACGATCGCTTCGCTCCCCCAAGGGGAGCACTGCACCGCTATCTGGCCTTGACAGAAGGGATTGCGACTGTTTCGCTCCGATCAGCGAAGCGCCGCTCCGCAAGCTGGGCCCGAACGAAAGAATTGAAATTGCGTCGCCCCCATTGGCGTAGCGCCGCGCTGCTAATTTGCATCAGACCAGAGAGTGACAACTGCGACCTCACATTAGCGGAGCCCTGATCCACTCATTCACATCAGACGAGAGGAATACAACCTCAATCCTGGCTTGCCAAGGGGCCCGAAGCCCAAATTGCCAAATCCCTCGCGGCTTGTCGCGGCTTGTCGGGGGCTGTCCACGGCATGCCACATACAATTTTCAAACCCAAGAGAGCCCCAAAACGGGCCAAGCAACCCCCGAAGGCCACGAAACTGCTCCCAAGAGACACCCGAGACCGCTCCGAAGAGAACCCACGGAACACCCCTAATAACTCAGACCCGCAAGCACGGCGGCGGGATGGGCCGAAGGCCATTGGACCTGCTTGGCACGGGGACGGAAAGCGCGCTTACTTTCAGAGCGCACGAGATCGCTGGCTCGTCCGCTCTTACACCTCTTATTGACTCCCTTCCCCTCGCTCTTGTCCTATCTCAGCCTCGGAGAGTCGCGCGGAGCTTTCTTTGAGCGCGTTTCTTGTTTTGGAGGGGGCGGTCGGGTCGCGTTGCGTTTTCCGCGTTTGGGCTGCCAGCTTTCCAGAACCCCGCGTTTTCCTTGCGTGGACCGCTCGTTGTCCACGCGTTGCCGCCCGTCCCTGTGCCCTGGCGTCAAGAACTTATTACGCCGCAGCTCTCTGTTGGGAGCTTTGGTCTTATCAGCTCGATTACGTCACCGCTCGCTCTTGGGAGCCGCGGTGCTAAGAGCCTCTGGGAGTATTTTGGGCCTCTTGGGGGGCTCTTGGGGAGCCTTTTGGGTGCCTCCTGGGGACCTTTTGGGGCTTTTCGGGGGCCTCTTGGGGCCTCCTGTGAGCTTCTGGGCTGCGGTGGTGAAGGGACTAGGCTGCCTTTGGCCGTCTTTGGGATCTCTTGGGGGCCTCTTGGGGCCTTCTTGGGGCCGTCCTGGGGCCGTCTTGGGCCGTCTTGGCGCCTCTTGGGCCGTCTTGGCGCCCTCTTGGGCCGTTTGGGGGCCCTCTTGGGGGCCTCTTGGGCCTTCTTGGGGCGCACTTAGGGGCCTCTTGGACAATCTTGGGCGCCTCTTGGCCCGTCTTGGCGCCCTCTTGGGCTATTTTGGGGGCCTCTTGGAAACATCTTGGGCCGTCTTGGCGCGGTCTTGGGGGCCTCTTGGACCGTTTCAACGCCATGAAAGGCGAAAAGCCGTATATGCTAAAAACGCACGTTTTCCTTAAGAAAATCAATGATTTTGGCCTCTTGGGGCCCTCTTGGGACGCCTCGTGGGCGCCTCCTGGGGCGTCGTGGAGGTCTCTTGGGACGTCTTGGGGCCGCCTTGGGCTGTCTTGGGCTCTCTTGGAGCGCTCTTGGGCCGTCTTGGGCGCTTCTTGGGCCGTGGGCCGTCTTGGGCGCCGTCTTGGCCGCTTCTTGGGCTGTCTTAGGCGCCTAAGACGGCCCAAGCAGCGCCCAAGAAGCGTTCTCCGATGATGTCTCGAGCGAAACGCTGTATTTAAGCCCCGAAGGCCGTCCTACTTGATAAAAAACGAGGCGGGAGGGCAATTAGATCCGGGACCGCGGATGCCAACCCCCTCGAACTCCCCCAAGTCCAATTTCTTCCGGCTAACGGACCGCACGCTAACGCGCGCTTTCCGTCATCCGGGCCTGGCGATGCCACCCCCCTCGATCGAACTCTCCCAAGTCCAATTTCTTCCGGCTAACGGACCGCACGCTAACGCACGCTTTCCGTCATCCGCCGCCCCCTGTCGATTCATCGTAGGGGTGCCTGGCGTGCTGAATCCTCTCGGTTCTAGTTTTGGTTCTTTTTCAAAAGAAACTCCACCTGCGGCTTCGACCCGTCCCGCTGGGGTCCCGGGAGGAGTGCCACGGAGCTCAATTCCCCCGAAATCCTCCAAGACGGCTCAAGATGGCCTCCAAGATGGCCATGTTGGCCCAAGATGGCCTCCAAGATGGCCTCCAAGTCCGCCCAAGATGGTCCTTGACGGCCTCCAAGACTGCCCAAGAGAGTCCAAGAGGCCTCCAAGATGCCTCCAAGACGGCCCAAGGTTCCTCCAAGAGGGCCTCCAGGAAGGCCCGCAGAGGCCCAAATCATGGATGGTCCAAAGGTTTTTGAAGGATTTCGGCATTTGCTTCTTTTCGGTCTTCCGACGGCCCGAGACGGCCCAAGAGCCCCCAAAGATCGCCCCACGATCGCCCAAGAGGCCGCCAAGATGGCCCCAGAACGAGCCAAGAGGTCCCCAAGACCGCCCCAGGAGGGCCTCAAGGCGGCCCAAGAGGCATCCAAGACGCCCAAGATGGCCCCCAATACGGCCCTGGAGCACCCCAAAAGGGCCCCCAGTCGGCCCAGAGAGGCCCCCAAAATGATTCCAAGACGGCCCAAGATGCACCCAAGACGGCCCAAGATAGCCTCAAGATGACCCATGACGGCCCTAGAGGCTCCCAAGAGGCCTCCAAGACGGCCCAAGAGGCCTCCAAGGGTCAAATTCATTGATTGTCCTAAAAGTCTTTGAAGGATTTTGGCATTTGCTTCTGTTCGGCCTTCCGACGGCCCGAGACGGCCCAAGAGCCCCGAACGATCGCTCATGGGGCCTCCAGGACGGCCCCAGAACGGCCCAAGAGGCCCCCAAGACGGCCCCAAGAGGGCCCCCAGACGGCCCAAGAGATCTTCAAGTCAGCCCAGGGAGGCCCCCAAGACGGCTTCCGACAGAATCGGACGTGCCAGGAATGCTCTGAGAAGGCCAGAGAAGCCCCCGAGAAGCACCCAAATGCCCCCAACAGGCCCAAAGAGGCCCCCCAAATGCCTCCAAGAGGCTCCCAGGAAGCTCACAGGAGGCCCCAAGAGTGCTCCCAGAGTCTCCCGAGATGCCCCCTCCTTCTCCTCCTCCTCTTCCTCCTCTCCTCCTCTAGTCCTCCTTCTGCTGCTCCTTCTCCTCCTCCTCCTCCTGATCTTCTCCGCCATTTAAATGTTCCCCGAAGAGTTTCGACAACGGTTGGGGGAACGCATGGTCCGATATCTTGGCAGAGCTCTTGCCACAACGCTCGGACACATGACCGATTTCAAACCTCTTGCTCCCCCACGCGTTCCCCGAAGGCTTTCCAAACCAACTCGGGGAACAACTGGCCCGATAGCCTGGCCAAGCTCTAGCCCAGCTGTCGGCCACATAGACGCTTCCACAAGGGCAGGGGGCGGGGGTGATTCGCAGTAGGCGTCTTTGACATACACTGCGGGTGTAGGCCGCCAGGATGCTTTGGCCGCGCATGCGTGCCATACCTGGGGTTCGAATGCGAGAAAATGTGCCGTACCATGCCCGCGTGCCGTGCCGAAGCGCGGCTGGGGTCTAGACTGGGGGACCTGTGCCGTGCCGTGCCGTGCCGTGCCCGGGTGCCGTCGCGCGCGCCGACTCTATGATGCGAAACCTGTGCCGTGCGGCTCCCGCGAGCCGCGCCTTTCTCAGATTCTACAGCGCGAGAAAGATGTCGTGCCATGCCGTGCCACCGTGCTGCGCTGCGCCTGCATTCTCGGATGCGGAAAGATGTGCCGTGCCGCGGCAGCGTACCGTGCCCGACGCACGACCAACAGCGGACGAAGACTACGGACGACGGACGGCGACGACGACACGACGACGACGACGATCACGACGACGACAGACGCGCGACGACGCGATCCTCCGACGTCGCCGCCCTCTGGGCGTTCCGCCTGGTGCGGTGGGCGAGCCGCCCACGATGTCGGCAGAAGGCGACGGGCGAGGCCACACGACGGACGGCGACGACGTCGCCAGCGGCGACGACAGACGACGGACGAGTACAGTCGAGGTGCTACCAGAAGGAACGCTACATAAGAAAAGAAGCCCCATTTGAGCCCCAGAAGCGCCTGGGTGCACGAATAGGGCTTGAGGAACAGCCAAGGAAGGACCTGAGAAACGGCGAGCCCATGCCGAACCCAAAAGCGGTCCTGATTTCAACGTCTGGGCTGTGCGATGACGGACTGGCGACTACGGGACGGAGGGTGACCCCGAAATCCTCGTCAACCGTGGCTTATTATCTAAGAGTGATATACCTAGGTTCACTATGTTCAGATGATACCCCCATGGGAATATTGTCCTGTGGATGGATCGGTGCCCCCCCCCCCTTGCCGGATCATTTTCATTCCGGAATACTGCATCTGGGGTCGACATTCCTTCATAATGAACCAGTGTTGATCCCAATCCAGACTCCTTCTCAAGCGCCCTCCCCTCCGCAGGATCATTATCATTCCGGAATAACGAACCTGAATGTATTATTCCCAGAACATTGCGAACCCCAATATATAATGTTCTAGAGATAACGGGCTAGGGTCGATATTCTAACATATGTAGTGAATCCTAGTTTGGAGGCGCGGGATTGGGGGAAAATTAGCCCCTCAGCCTCCATTATTATTACTCCAGAATAATAAACCTGGGCTCATTTATCCCGAAACATGATTAACCCCAGTCAATAGTCCCAGAAAACTATGAAGCCAAATTGAGATCTTTGTGGGGTTGCTATCCCTGGAATATTATAAACCAAAATTGAAAATGTTCCTGGGGGAACCTTATGAGCCCCAATCAATGTCCCGGAACATTAAAACCCAAATTCAGAATGTTCCGGGGGGGACATTATGAACCCTGGTCAATAATCCCGGAACGTTATAAACCCAGGATAATATATTCTTGGGGTTTCTCCTGACGGGACGAGTGCGGCAAGGCGGACGAAGGCGACGAACGTCCGACGATCGAAGACAACGACCGCGACGACGGCGACGGCGTGCTCCTCCGACATCTCTGTCCTCTTGCCGATCCGGCCCGTGCTCAGGGCGAGCCGCAGCACCTGCCCAGGCCGCTGGCGGATGGCGCTTGGCGCGGGGGCGGCGCGGGCGAGCGGGGCGCCTTCGGGGGATCCCTTCCCGCACGGCTCGCACTGAACGAGGAGGAGGAGGAGGAGGAGGAGGAGGAGCGAGCGCCCTGGGCTCTGGGAGTCAGCCTACCTCCAAGCTCTGCTTCCACGCACACGAACCCCCGAGGTCGCGGAGAGGACCATGCAAGAACAAATCCCAATCAGATGATCGTGCGCACAATGTAGTAAGGCAACGCGCTGGGGGGGGGGGCAAAGGACACCAACTGGTGTTCCGTGTTCTCTGCTCTCTATTCTATATCTTGTGTTCTGAATGTTATATTGTCTTGTGCATGTATGATATACGATTTACCCTGTACCATTCGTTTCCTATTCTACTCTCCCTGGTAAACTTGATTTCCCCCCCTAAGGCATCGCTTCTCGTTCTACCTTTGTATCGTCGTTTCCCCTTGGCGCGCTCGCTTCTCCAGCATTGGCTATCTACTCTATGTTCTGTGCTCTCTCTCTCTCTCTCTGCTCAATCGGGCCGTCTGCGCATGCGATATGATAGATGTTCCAAATCTCTCGGGGTCTGTCTGATCTCAACGTGTTCTGTTTTCTCGGCGATAGGAACCTGGTAACATGGCAACACTGGAACCGGCTGGAAACTTTCACCAAGACGCAGCCTTGGAACCCTGGAAGAACCCCGCCGCCCACCGTGGCGGCGCAGGCCGGCGGCCGCCCTTCGCTCCCATTCCCGACTTGGTTGCCGGTGTCCGCCGCTGCCGCCAGCGAGGTCGTCGTCGTCGTCGTGGTCGTCCTTCGTCGTCGACGGTAATTAATCATCGATCCGTTCTCCGTCGATCGTTCGTCGTTTGTCTTCGTAGCGAGCAGGACGAAGATGACACGGGGAGGAGAGACGGAAGAGCGGTGAGGAGGCCGGGGGGAAGCAGAGGAAAGGAGGGAGGATGAGGAGGAGGCACCAGGGGGAGGAGAAGAAGGAAGAGATGGGAGGGAGGGAGGAAGAGCGAAGGAGCGAGGGGAGGATGCAATTGGGTTGGGAGGTGGTAGCGAGGGAGGGAGGCGAGGATGGAGACATCCGTCCTGCTGTCTATCCCAATCAATTGGGGAATCTTTCCCCTCCTTCCTCCGTCCCCTGCGGCGCCGCTCGGCCGTCGCCCCAGGGCTTAATGGGGGATGGTGCGCCGTTCCCTGCCGCTCGAGGTCCTGGTAAGCCAGGCAACGACGGGTGGACTTGATTCGTCTCCCGTGTGCATGGCGCTGCTGCTCGCATTACCAGATGGTTCTCCTCGTGCTCATCGGGCCGAGCTCCCCGGTGGCAGGGCTGCCGGGAGTGCAGGTGCTCGTCGTGCCCATCGGCACGGCTACGAAGTTCGAGGCGTTGGTTGTCGTCCTGGGGCGCGTAGGCATGGTGGGCTGTGGCGTCGTAGTGTACTTGGTGGTGCGCTTCGGTTCTTTCCTCGCAGGCTGTTCCCCCTTCCTGCTGCAGGTCGTCTACATCGTCGTTAAGTGCATCATGGCCGCCCCCGCGGCGTGTGGCTGCGGACGCGTGTTCGTGGTGAAGGCTAGCCAGGCCCGCCCCACGACCACTGCCGTCGGCAGAGATTAAAATGGTTTTGTTTTGCTGGCAACGGGATTTTACCTTGCCGCTCGGGCGCGGTCCAGGCCATGGCTCCTTATCATGTTTCTTCTTCTGGCGAGGTGTTGGACATGTTCGATGCTGGTACTTGGGCGGTGCTGTCTTGCCGTGGGCTGTGGACCCCGTGGGTGTCGGTTGGGCTGTATGGTTATTATTTTACCTTGGCGGTTTCTTCAGCATCCACGCGAGTTTTTTCGAAATGTATTGTCTTTGATGGCGCCGATTGTCATCATGTGGGAATTCATTAATCCTTGATCACTGTTCGACGTCTGTTTTTTTCTACGCTCCGAGGCACGCTCCGGGTCGGCTGTGACACGCTGACGTCCCTGCTCTGGATTATGTGTAAATGCGCCCAATCTTGCAATTGGTCACCGCGTGTTCATCGTAACCGTACCTTCATCCTTTGCCCTGCTTCCAATCTCCCGCCTCCATCCTTCGTCATCCTTCATCCCCTGCTTCCAATCTCCCGCCCCCTCAACCTCCCTCATCCCTTCCTCCTCCTGCATTATCACCACCATGGACAGCAGCAACAACAACAGCATCAATCTCATCATCATTATCAGCAGCAACAGATCAACACCATGAACATCCGTTATTCGCTCTCCTCTGTTCCTCCTTCCTGTTCCTTCTTCGATCATTCACCTTTACATCCCTCCATCCTGACCCATGTGGTGTCCTCTTCGTACTCTAGGGGGTTTTGGGGGCTCCAGAGGCATGAGGAGGATGTGGAATACTCGAAGGTTATTCCAGACCTGTATGGTGTGTAGACGGGGCTTCAGGGCTCGAGGGGGTCTTGGGGGCTCCAGGAAGCTGAGGAGGACGGGAAGGGAAATGATAACGATAATGAGCATCATTGTGCACTACGTGAAGAAAGCTGGATCCTTACACCCAGAGGGACCCATCGGAGCTGGGACCCGAACGTCTGGCCTGTTCAGACTTTACGTCAGACTTTCGGCCACGGACCCTGATGGATCGTGATGAAATAGCCCTTACCTGTGTGTTGGTCGTTCACAAGGCTGGCGGATGGGCACAATCTGCTGACTGGCATAGCAGCCGCACCGCTCACAAACCCGACTTCGTGCCGAGATTTTGAGCGTGAATTTCGTACACCCAACCACAAGCTTCATGTAACCTCCCCTCCACAGGAAAGGAGTAGAGCACGAGGTGTCTTGCTGTTAGAGCTCAGAAACTGGCTTTGGATGCCGACCGCACACGACGCTTGCACTTCCTACCAAGCGTGTGGCTGGTCCTGAAAACTCAAACTGCACTGGGAGCGGGATGGGGGGGAGTGGTGGGGGAGGTCCGCTCTCTTTCCTTCCTTCTCGCAACCCCACCATCGAACGCGTTGGCCATGGCATCCGCAGCGGAGGATGTTGAGGTGGAGGATGAGGAGGGATGACGGAGGAGGCAGGAGGTACGATAACAAGTGATGGAGGCTCCTTCTACACACCATACTGGTCTGGGAGATAACCTTCGAATATTCCTCCTCCCCTCTCCCAACCTCCCCCATCTCCCCTCCCTCCTCCCCCCCTCATTCGGCATCCTCCCCCCTCAGTCGACCTCCTCCCCGCTACTCGACACGACGTAGGACGACGTCGAGGACCAGCACGGCGACGACGTTGCCAACGCCGATTAGCAGGGGGGGGCCTTCCCCCAGGACCACTTCTTCATCCCGAGTCGTTCTCTGCCAGTCCCAGGCCCGTCGAGGGCCCCGAGAGCCCGAGAACTGCGCAAAACCTCAGGACCCGCTTCTCTCATGACCCGCCCCCGCCATTCGGGGACGCCCAAGAGGGGGGGCGTCCGAAGGGGGGGGCGCGGCCCAGAGGGAGGGGTGGCCCAGGGCGTGTATTGAAGTGAAAGAGGCGCCGTTACATGTGAGGTGAGATCGTGGCCCCCGCCAAGATATATTCCCCCCCCGGTCATCACCCCTCTCTTGGCCGCCCCCGACCATGGCGAGCCCACGAAGACGGCGACTCAACGACCCTCTGACGGAGAATCCACTAACGGGCACTTTGGCCAGTGACCCGGCGAACCCAACCCTCCCAAATGTGGGCAACGCTGCAATGCCAGAAACAGGCCCTAAAAAGGCAACTGCGAGGCGGGGATTTATCCACATCCACCGCCTCGGAACCGACGTCCTGGTGCCCCAGCGGGCGGTGGATGTGGATACATTTCGGCCCCCGGGGGCCCGAATATGTCCATATCCACCGCCTGCCGAGGCTCCGAAAACTGACCCTCCAGGCGGTGGTCATGTATAAATTCCCGCCTCGGAGCGACCTTCGGCAGATCTCCACTAGTGCCCGTTAGCGAATACCCGTCGCGTTGCCGCTGAGCGACGACCGCTGCCCGCCGGAGCGAGGCGGAAGGCCGCCCGCGGCCCCGGCGGCGGCCTCGACCACGTCGTACGACCGGAGCGACTCGACGGTCACGGGGAGCCTGCAGGGCGCCCGGGCAAGGGGGGGGGCTCGAGGGGCCAGGTCGAAGGGGGGGCGCGGAGGCGGAATCGAGGAGGGGCAGGGAGGATCGGGACCGGAAGGATCGAGGAGGAACGAGGAGGAGGACCCACGGGGAGGAGGAGGGGCGGGGACGGACGGAGGGATAGAAGGGGGAGCGCGATGGGGAGCTCAGACGCGGAATTGAGTAGGGGGGGAGGAGGCTCGGGACCAGAAATATCGAGGAGGATAGAGGCGCGAGAAACGGCATAAGCACAGACTTTCGGAGGTCCACCCGGATTTCTTGGATCTGCGCTGGACCCCCCTCCCTGGCGCGCGGAGAGAGCAAGGCGCAGCGCCAGAGGCGCCGCCATCGGGCTCCAGCGCCGATCCGAGAACTCCTCGCGGACCTCCGAAAATTTAGGTGTATGTCTTTGTTTGCTGGAGGAACGCGGGGGAGGACCCACGGGGAGGAGGAGGAGGAGGAGGAGGAGGAGGAGGAGGAGGAGGAGGAGGAGGAGAAAGAGGAGGAAGAGGAGGAGGACGTGGAGGAAGAGCCGGGATGGACGGAGGGACGGAAGCCGATGTCCTCGCCAGCGCGCTGCTCATGCGGCCGCGCGCCCTGTAGGCGACGGCGGGGGCGCCGAATAGGCTGCACGCTCGCTGCTCAGACTTAGATCTACATCGGGAGTGAGCTGCTCCTCGTTCTGGCGAAGCACGCCTGCCGAGAAACGACTCATCTGACCTGGAGGAGCGGGGAGAAGGATCGAAGGAAGATCGATGAGGATCGAGGAGGAGGATTGAGAAGGGGGAGGAGGATCGGGACCAAGAGGATCGAGAAGGAGAGACGGGGAGGAGGACGAGGAGGAGCGGGGAGGATTGAGGAGAGGGGACGCGGGGAGAAGGGAGGAGGAGGAGGAGGAGGAGGAGGAGGAGGAGGAGGAGAAAGAGGAGGAATGAGGATGACTGCAAAAGATACGAGCTTTTTGGCATGAGAAAGGCCCACGCAAACGTGAAGGCCACTCTACTCAAGGTCACCCGAATCGCTGACATGAGGAAGGCCTGCAAACTATTGCCAGGAGGCCGAGCCGGCATGGGGAGCAAGACGCAGCGACAACACTTGCCCCGTCCACCCCCGCCAACTCCCGCCCCCCCAAACCGTCGAAGGAGTGAGAGGAGGAAGCCATAGTAACACTCCGTGTCCTTCCTCGCGCGCTGTAACCCTTGAGGCCCACGGAATGCCAAGTCTTAGGAGGACAGCCTCGCAACATATTTTCGATGCGAATAAACATGAGTATTTGGCCACCAGGCCGCCGAGACGACTGGAGGAGGATCGAGGAGGAGGAGGAGGCGGAGGAGGAGGAGGAGGAGGATTGAGGATGCTCGGGAACAGGAGAATCGAAGAGAGACGGGGAGGAGGAGGAGGAGGAGGAGGAGGAGGAGGAGGAGGAGGAGGAGGAGGATCGAACTGAGATAATCATGGTTGCTTTTTGCTCGCAAATTTCAACCTCTGGCGGCCCTCCCCAGGCCCCAGGACCGTCAACAAAAAACTCAGGGTGAAAAACTGGCCCTGCGGAAAGCGTCGGAACTCCTGGGGAGGTCCTTAAGGAAAAACAACACTCTGAACGGCAGCGTCGACGGCGTCGTCGTCGGCTCCTCCTCCTCCTCCTCCTCCTCCTCCTCCTCCTCCTCCTCGCTCTGCTCCTCCTCCTCCTCCTTCTCCTCCTACTGCTGCTGCTCCTCCTCCTCATGGAGGAGGGGTGCTGGGAGCAGGCCTGCACTTCTGCCAGACGATCTCCGCGGCCGCGGCCATGGCTGCCCCCGGGGCGGCTCCCCGGGGCCCGGATCCCTGGCGTTCGGTGCGCCAGGGACTGGGGACGACGAGAACGGGAACGGTGCCCACGCGCACAGAGCACCTGTGTATGATCCAGGGTTGCCTCCCCCCTCCCTCCACCACCACCCCAATGCACATGGGACAAAGCGCACCCCGCATCCCAGTACAGAAAAGTGTTTCCTGTGGCCTCCAGGGAGCGAAGAGACAAGGAGCTCTTCCCGAACACATACCGCAATTCAGAAAATGCGTCTTGGAGCCTCCTGGGGGCGCCGGCAAAGGCTCCCCGAACACATACTCCTGGAGCGTCCTGGGGCCTGAACAATTAGCGGCAAGACCGCTTTGACAGATTTTCCCTGCGTTGCTGGATTGCGAGCACCTCTCGAGCGAAACAGCAGTTCTGGCCTGCAAGAGTGGCAGCAACACTGCTCTGAAGGATTCCCCTTTGGTGCTGAATTGCGAAGATATCTCGGGCGGAAAACCCGCTCCAGCATCCGCGAGTAGCAGCAACCTGGTTTAGGAGGACTCCCTTGTGGTGCTCAATTGCGAGAATGCTCACGCGAAACGACCGTTCTGGCATCCGCAAGTAGCAGCAACCCCCCTGTGATGCAAAATTGGAATGAAGTCTCAGGCGCGAGCGCCCTTCCTGAGGTTCGGGCCCTCTCTGGCCAGGACCTCTCGAAGCGAATTGTTGGGAGGTATCGCACGGACCGTTGTTGTTACTAGGGGGCCGACCTGGGCGGTACCCCGAAACGCTTGAGCGTGAGCCTCAATTTCAAAGGAAATGCAGCCGGCGCCAAAGGGAGAGAACCGGGGCGGATTTAGGGGATCCAACAACATTAATAAGCGCTTACAATCAGCACTGCGGAACCCCACTTCAGCCACGCGCCCAGGGACAGTGAATGACCGTTCGGCTCCCTCACTCTGACCACCACTCATGCTAGGCCATGTGAGGAATCTACTGGGGCATCTAAGGAGCCTCGTGCACCTCCTGAGGAACATCTGAAGACTGCTTGAGGAGCATCAGAGGAGTCTCTTGGAGCATGTGAAGAACCTATGAGGAGCATATGAGAAGCCTCTGAGGAGCACATGAGCAGCACATGAAGACCATATTGTTGCGAATGAGGAGATTCTTGGGGTGGTCCTGGGCCCTGGCATGGTGCACACGCCGCGTGCCAGGAGGGTCCTTCGTGCATCACCGTACGAGGGCCCGGGTTGGCCCTGGCCAGTCACGTGGCGTAAAGCTGTCTATTGCGGAGCATGGGCGACGAAGAGAACACGGTCCTGCGCGCGACGGCATGGCTGCCTTGCGCGATGGCCTACGTGGGCCACCAGCGCGGCACACCGCGCGGAAGCGGGAGCTCTCACGCGCGGCCTTACGCGGTCAGCTTGCGCGCGAATGCGTGTGGGTCCGCGCGCGGAAGAACCAGTTGCTTTCCGCCGCTCGAGTGTCTTCAAATCGACAGCGGCCGCTGTCGAGAAAACGCTTTCAGTCACAGGCGGACGTCGACCGCGGCGACCCCTGCGGCGAGTCCTGCTAAGGGCGAACCTTGATGTGCGTTCGGTCTTCGTCCCAATTCTGTCCGTCCCCCGGCTGGCCCTTCTTCGAGGGCTGGACGGCTGGACGCCAGTTGAGAAAAAGCTCGAGCAGAGATGGCGGCCGCGTGCCCTACGCGTGCCCTCTTGCACATCCTTTCCTCCTCCTCCTCCTCCTCCTCCTCCTCCTCCTGCCCCTCCTCCTCCTCCTGCCCCTCCTCCTCCCTCTCTCTCCTCCTCCTCCTCCTCCTCCTCCTCCTCCTCCTCCTGCCTCTCCCTCCTACTCCTCCCCATTCCTCCCACCCCACTCGCGTGCGCCCTTCTTCTTCCCCTCCCTCCCCTCCAGAACTCCCTCATCCCCCCCTTTTCCCCCGCCCCGTCACGCGCGCGCTCCCGCGGGCACATCAGCAACGCTGCGCGGGCGCAGCAAGAGCATTGAAACACATGTTGGTCATCGATGCTCTCGGGGTAATCTGAGGGGAGGACGGGCAAGGGGGAAAACATCGAGCTGAAACCGGCAATCCATCGCCAATAGATCGTCGGCGGGCCCTCGATAGCGAATCCGCATGGTCCTGGACGGGGCGGGCCGTCGGGCCCCTATCGGCCGTCAATGTGTGATCAGAGGTCGATGCACTTCCCCCTGAGCTTATTCGCCACCAAGATAGATGATATACACAGACACCCTACGGCGAATTTTGCATGTACCTTCAGGGGGGAGGGCGGTGTATAAAGTCGCTGGCTCCCACTGGTGATTCATACACAGCCACCCACCCCTGAGGCCCCAGAACAACCATTGGACGGAGGTGTATACATGTTTGTGGCGGAGCCGTTGGAGGGCCTGCTTCTAGACCAACATCTGGGGCCGATGTCAAATACCGTTCTCACGTCCTAGCCAAAGGCGTCTATGGACACATTGGGTGCCATGCCGTCCATAGACACTTTAGGGGTGGATGCGTCTATGGACAACGTGGCCAATGCGTGCGGCGCGGTATCAGGTCGGAGAAAGGGTAGATCCGTCTTCGGTATGTTACTGTTCTAGAATCTAGAACAGGTCCCACACGGACTCAAAGGGAGCCTGTCCCTCCCCAGCGTTGCCCTGGACCCTCCCCCCGCGCCAAGAGATCGGGCGCCGCGCCTTCTGGCGCCGCGCTGCCGCTATCTGCGGACGGACCGCGGCGATCTCCTCCGGGGGAGCTGGCAAGGAGGCCTCGACCAGGACAGGACGACCCCGACGGAGGCGACGACGACGACGACGACGAAGACGACGACAACGTCGACGACGACGACGACGGCGGCGGCGGCGGCGGCGGAGGCGGCGTCCTCCTCGTTCGCCCTCCTCCTCATCCTCCTCCTCTTCCTAGTCCTCCTCCTCCTCCTCCTCCTCCTCAAGCTCATCCTTCAGCCCATCTGCCACCCCCTCCTCCTCCTCCTCCTCCTCCTCCTCCACCTCCTCCTCCTCCTCCTCCTCCTCCTCCTCCTCCTCCTCCTCCTCCCCCTCCTCCAATGTGCACAGCTACCCCCTTCCAACTGCGCATGGCACGATGGTGTCACTCTGGTGGGCCCAGGTCCGCTATGACACCCGTCGCCGCCAGCCGCAGTCGCCGCCGCCAACCGACGCCGCCACCGCCGCCCAGCGCGCGGCTCCGCCGCGGGCCCGGCGAGGCCCCCCGCAGCGCGGCGCCCAGCGACGATCGCGCACCGGGCGACGCCGCCGCCGGCGCGGCGCCGACCGACGCCGGCGCCGCCGCAGGGCACCACGACGCGGGCGGCGCGGGCGGCGCGGGCGGCGACTGGCCGCGCCGCCCCGGCGAGGCCCGCGGGCTGGCCCGCGGCCTGCTGTCCGCGCCGCTGTGCAGCCTGTCGTGCACGGGCTCGCGTCGCGCCTTGTGGAATGTGGCGGGGGTGGTCCACTGATGAGCCGGAGCAGTGGGTCTGACGCAGACGGTCCACGGGGAGAGGTGCACTAGGACAGGCAATAGCTGGCCACTGGATGCAACAACTTGCGCGCTGGATGCAATAGTTGCGCGTGGATGCAGTTGTTGCTCTTATCAAGCGCAATAGTTGTCGCCCGTGCAAAAGTTGGCGCACCCCCCACAATGGTTGCGCAGTATAGTTAACAACGTATGAGAAGGACGCGCGGTAAGGAGGCAAGGGCGTTGGAAGGTCATATCGACACTTTGCGAGCGGACGCGGCCAGCGAAGGCGGTCAAGGACAGGGGCCGACGGGAAAGGATGCAAGGGCAACCTGGGGAAAGTTCCCCATCCTTCCTATGCGGGCTGAGTGCATTGAACGCCATAGAAGACAAATCACGAGCTCTTACACCTCTCGCAGCCGATTCGTCTGCGCCAAACCACCTACTCCAGCTTGGACCTTTGGCCCAGGTCACCCCCGGCTTTCTACGAGGGGGCCTCGCGGAGGAGGGGGGGTGCTCGGGAGCTCTGCGGAGGCCACCTGGGCCTCCCTGGAGAAACTGGGGCCACCCTGGTCCAGGGTCCCGGAGCAGGGCGAGATGGGGCAACGGCAGCACAAAATCGGCCCCCCGACCCCCCCCCAGGGTCCAGACGCACCACTTTTTCCGAGCCGCGCACCCTCAGGAGCCCCCCTGAAGGCCAACGACCGTGGTCTCAACTCGCGACGGAGGGGGTGCTCTGGAGCTCTGCAGGCCGCCTCGGCTGCTGGGCCCCAACCTCCGACGTTTGGATGTTTTCAGCACGGTGTCCCCGGCGCCCTGGACCGCTTCCCAGGGACTGTTTTTTCGTCCCTCGCCTCTTTGGCCCGCGGTGGCGGTGTAGGGGCCACTCAGTGGCGGCGAGCCCAAGGGGGAAATGAGAAGGGGCGGGCCTTCTGGGAAGGCTCAGAAGTCCCCTCGGCCTTCTGAGAAGTGTTCTCGACCTCCCCCGAAGACGCAGAACACTGCTCAGCAGGCCGGAGGCAGTCTGCGAAGCCCCGCCGCCTTCTGAGAAGGCCTTCTCCATTTCTCTTCCCCCCCCGGGCGCGCCACCGAGTTTGGTTTTCGGTTCGAAACTCGGGTCTCCGGCGGCCGTTCGGGACGATCCGGGCACCCCCGGAACGCCCTGGGCGAGGCACAGCTGCTGGGAAGCATCCCGATGCTGCAAAACCGCCGAAAACCGACGAAAGCGTCCGAAAACCTCGAACCTAAAACCCCTGAAACTTCCCCCCTCGCTCGCCGCCGAATTTGGGGCCCCTGCAGGGCCGCCTTCTTGCAGTCCTCGATCCCCCCACGCCCGCGGCCGCCCAGGCCTGGCGCCCTCCTCTTCCCGACCACAGGACCCCCCCCCGCCACCGATCGGGATCGAGAGTCGAAGAGGAAACTCGAGGATCGAAGAGGAGGATCGAACATCGAGGAGGATCGGGAGGAGGATCGAGGATCGAGGAGTATCAAGGATCGAGGAGGAGGATCGGGGAGGAGGAGGATCGAGCAGCGCCACACAAACTAAGGAGGTCATCGCACGACAGTCAGCCCGTTCAGCAAGGACGCGCGATAAGGATGCAAGGGCCCTGAAAGGCCATGTCGACACTGCGCGACCGGGGCGCGGCCAGCGAAGGCGACCATGGATGGCGGCCGACGGGAAAGGATGCAAGGACAACCTGGGAAAGTTGTTCATTCTTGCTGTGGGTTGACTGTGAACATGAATCAACACAAAAACAAACAAATGAACCCTGGTTCGAGAGATTAGCAACCTCGCGCTTTCTCCTGTCATGGACCCGCTGCCCACCTCGGCTTGGGCGCGGGAGGAGAAGCAAATAGCGCCAGACCTCGGACGAGGTCAACGCCGACACGCTCAACAGCACGGCAAGGTCAAAGAGGAGGATGAGGAGGAGGAGGAGGACAAGGAGGAGGACCAGCGTAAGCCCAAAACTCATCAACGATGTTGACATACGCCCTCCCTCTAAGATCCGAGATCCCTCTTCGTATGCCCCTACACAAAATCATTTCCACTGAAGGATTTCCCCCGTTGGGGGACAACCGTGTGAACATCTTGAAGCGTGCCAGAACACCATTCTCAAGACTTCAACGCCGAAGGTGGACCCCACTGTTACGTCTTGGCGATCCCGAATCGTGCCAGAACGCCAGAACACCATTCCTGGGACTTCAACACCGCGAATCAACGTAACTGTTGCGCCATTGCAATCCTGAATCGCTCCAAAACGCCATTTCTGGTACGTGAACGACGAGAACGAATGAAACGCATGCAATTACTTTAAACGAATGTGGGCGGCGGGCGCTAGAGAGAGAATCACATGTTGAAAACCACCCGCCCTCAATCCGTGAAACTGTTGCAACTGTTTGAACCGAAAGTGCCGCTCTGAATCCGTGAAACTCTCTGCAAATTAGTGAAACGAATGAGCGCGGCGCTAGAGCGAGAGCTACATTTTGAAAACCACCCGTCCTCAATCCGCGAACATCTTGCAAATGCTTGAAACGATTGTCCACCGCGCTAGAATGAGATCCACATTTTGAAAACCACCCGCCCTCACTCCGTGAATCTCTGGCAAATTTCGCAGCGCTAATGCGAGAACTTACCATTTGAAAACGAATCGCCCTGAATCCGTGGAAATGAACAAAAATGTTCAAACCGAATGTGCGCGGCGCTGAGGCGAGAACCACATTTTGAAAACGACCCGGTCTCAATCCGCGAAACTCGCGCAAATGTTCAAACCGAAAGTGCGCGGTGCTAAAGCGAGAGACAGTTTGAAACGACCCGCCCTCCGACCCGCCCTCCGATGCCATTTTTCAAACATCAAGGTCTTCAATGGTGAGGAAGCCTCAAGCAAAACGCCCGGCCCGCCCTTTCGACAAGCCTCGGGGTGCGATAGGGAGGAGTTATCCATAAGGAAAAGAATTGGAGGAGGAGATGGAGGGGAGGAGGATGAGAACGATCGGGGGCAACTGTCCTGCAATCCTCGATCCATCCACCATTCAATGCACCCCCGTTGCCGTCCGCTCGACTCTGGCGGCGCCCGACGCCTCAGCCGTTTTTAGGTCATACGCCTCGCCTCTCCGGTGGCCGCTCAGGAGAATCCTGGCGCCCCTGGAACGCTCTCGACGAGGCGCAGCCGCTGGAACGCACCCCGAGAAACTACAAAAACGCCCGAGCACCTTCTTCGTCCGACCCGTCCGTCGTGGAGCGAGGGGCAGTGGGACCCGCTCCATGTGGGAGAAACGTCGACCCAGAATCGGCAACACATCGCCGATAGGTCGGCGGAGGGCCCCCGATGACGGATCCGCTCGCTCCGAAAACTCTGAGCCTCGAACTTGGAAGTCTGGGGGAGGGGTCGCCTCTGGCGGCGCCCGGCGCCTGGCAGGCCGCCAGGTCCTCCATGCTTGGAGGCGTGGAAATTGGCACCAACCCCAACACAGGTCGGCAACCTCGGAACCCCGAGTTTCATCACCACCACCGAGATCAGGACCACCCCCGCCCTCGGTGGAAGCACACCGCCGACATTGGTGATTGTGCCAGCCCCTGGGCCTCCTCCAGGAGGAGAGTGGGAAGGAGAAGGAGGAGGAGGAGGAGGAGGCGGAGAAGGATGAGGGGGAGGAGGAGGAGGAGGAGGAGGAGGAGGAGGAGGAGCATGAGGAGTACGATGACGATGATGATGATAAGGAGGAGGAGGAGGAGGAGGAGGAGGAGGAGGACGAGGAGGAGGAGGAGATGGAGTAGAAGGAGGAGGGGGAGGAGGAGGAGGGGGAGGGGAAGGAGGAGGGGAAGGAGGAGGAGGTGGAGGAGGAGGAGGAGGAGGGGGAGGGGAAGGAGGCGGGGAAGGAGGAGGAAGGGCCTCCGACATAAGCCTCTGGGTGCCGTCGCACACCCACGGGCGGGCGTCGACCGCGACGCTGGCCTCCGCCGCCTCTCGCCTGCGGGACAGCTCCGCCTGCCTCTTGTGGAAGTCGTTGTACAGCCTCTTTGGCTTGCAGAAAATCCCAGAGGCAACTCATGGGAGGTCTTCGTAAGAAAGATCAGAGGTCCTCCTCCTCCTCCTCCTCCTCCTCCTCTGCGTCCTCATACCCCCTCCTTCCTAAGAGTTACACAATATGAGTATTGCTCCATCTTCCCCGACGAATGCGTACAGAGAGTGTCGGCCTCGGGTACTGTTGTTGATACTCACATGTTTTGCGCGAGCAGGGTGTTGCCTCCGGGCATAGGCGTGCGCGACCCGCTTGGCGTCTGCCCAAGACAAAAGGCATCAACGGACGCTGTCGACTCATGCTCAACAGACGTTCGCATTGCATGCGTTGCGTGTGTCGTCGAAGCAATGTATCGTCTTGAATGACGAACATCCTGACACGCTGGTGTGGCAGAGCGATAATACACATGGAACGCTGACGCTCGGCACGTGAATCCAGTCATGTTTCGTCGCAGGACCATCATCATCATCATCATCATCATCATCATCAACATCATCCTCCCCATCTTCATAATGATGGGTGTCATGACGCGCTGGTGTGGCACGCAGGTGTCATGGCAGGCTGGCATTCCGCATGTGGACTCACTCGTGTATCATCGCAGGACCATTGTCCTGATGATGAGTGCCATGATGCGTTGGTGTGGCACACCAATATCATGGCACACTAGGCTGCCGAACATATGCACCATGGAATCTTTATTCAGCACCGATCCCACATATTGTGTAACACCTGTAACACCGCTCGGCTCCCTGAAGAGCCTGTTTGACGGAAACCTTTATGAGGGCGATGTCGTGGACATCTCCTTTTCGGTGCCGCAGCGAGAACACACTGCGGTTCGTGGTTCGAGCAGCACTTCGCCTGAACTACAAGCGCCGTCTTCCACCATCAAGCGCGCGACCCATTTGGCCACTGCCCAAAACAACAGGTATCAACGCACGCTGGCGACTTCTGTGCCCCAGACCCAACGACTGCACGTTATGCGTGTGTCGTCGTGGCAAGGACAGCATCATGATTATGAATGCAATGACGCGTTGGTGTGGCAGAGCGATGGTACACGGAGGACCGTGGCCGTCCGCACGTGCATCCACGAATGCGTTGTCGAAGGGACATCAGAATGATGGTTGTTGTCCTGATGCGCTGGTGTGGCCCACCGATATCATGATACGCTGGTGCGCCTGGTGCTCCAAGGATGTGCGCCATGGCGCCCCAATCTGGCACTGGTCCATGGAAGGTTGGCCCTCCGCATGTGTATTGGGTCGCGTATCATCGCACGACGTTCGTCTTGATGATGGATGTCATGACGCGCCGCTGGTGTGGCACCGTTCGGCCCCCTCAGGAGGCCTCTGAAAGGAAAGCCGTTCCAGGGGGCATTTCGTGCTCAGCCCGCCTTCGTTGTCAACGCTGGAAAACACTGCGTTTCGCGGGTCGAACGCTACTTCGACACACCTCCGCGCCCTGACTTGCCCACAAAACTTTTAAATACGTAAAGTTTTATGAAGACCAACATTAAAATTTTCGCGGCGATGCTCCGCGAAGGGAGTCACCCAGCTGCGTGGCCCATGGATTCCAATGCTCTGCTCCAGCCAGCGGGCGCACATGCATTTCCATGCTACGAAACCTGATGTTTGCTTTGATTCGCATGCTATCACAAGCAAGGCACACACACACACATGCATCAACGTCCGCACACTCCGTTCTTTTTCATCAAGAGCAAAACAGGTCGCGCACGCGTACGCCTGGTGCGAGGGTGTTCTTTAGTGTTTTCTAATTTCGATCCCTCCGCATCCTGTTTTTGTTTTAACCTGCGCGAGCCTGTCGTCATTTGGCATTCAACTATCTGATAATTCAGTGCTTCAAGCGTGGGCCTCATTTTTGAATCGGCGCTGTACAGCCGTTGTTCAGACCGGCGCTCCCGCCCCAGCACGGGCTGTTTTTCTGGATCCCGCAGGTCTCGCAAGCACCACAGGTCGCACAGGTCCCAGGGTAACCACAGTGTCGCATGTCGCCCCACTGGTCCCACCTGTCTGACAGGTGCCACAGGTCCCACCAGTCCCACAAAAGTCGCAAGTTTAGCGTGCCCCACAGGTCCAATAGGTCTGACAGGTCCCGCAAATCTCACAGGTCCCTCACGTCCCGCCGGTGCCACGGGTCCAACAAGTCTCGCAGGTCTCACAGGTCCCACAGATACCACAGGTCCACAGGTCGAACAAGCTCCACAGGTCCCACTGGAGGTCTCACAGGCCCCACAGGCCACAGACGTCCCGCACGTCGCACAGGTCCCATAAGTGTGCCGTTGCCGATTGCGCATAACACGATGGGGCCTTTTGTGGAGTTCCAGGTCGGCTATGACACGCGTCCGCGGATATATGACGAAAAATCAGTGCAAAGGGAATAGGAGGATGGGATAGGATGCCAGATATGGCGCAAGCGCACCTGGCTTTCCCCCCTTTGTCTCTCCCTCCTCCTCCCCCACCACTCCTCCTCCTCCTCCTCCTCCTCCTCCTTCTTCCAGCGACTGCCTCTGAATAGCAAAGGTGCGACAACGGAGTGGTCTGGCGGCAGGGCACTGCAAAGGCTGAACACGCGAAACATCTGAACACACCTGCCGACTATACAGCAACACGGCGCACACCAAGGCACAAGGGTCAACCAGTACTATTGGTGTTTGATCTGGCATGGGGAAGATTAGACTTCTGAATCTTGGGAGCCAACTCCTCGGAGGTCTTCGTCATAGTGATTTAGGGCTGGGCCGTTCGGCCAGATTACACCAGATTAGGCCCAGGATTCAGCCAGGTGAAATGCCCTATCCGCGGAAATACCAGCGCCGATTCCGAATGTTAACCTCCCAGGGCCAGGCGATGCAATCTAAGATAATTCTGGCCCTGAAGAACGCGTTTGAATATTCGCGGACATAACGCGCGTTGTTGGGGGGTGGGGGTGGGGCGGGGGGGGCATAACGTAACGCCCCCCCCCGCCGTGTGGATCCTGGGCCACAGTGCCTGTGCGCATCACAGCAAGCTCCACAGTGCGCGGCACAGTATGCACCGCCGCAGCCACGTACACAACATCGCTATGTACTGCGCAACGCATACGTGCACCATCGTCCAGCACCACAGTGTTTGCATCCTCCACACTTTCCTTCGAGCATGATTTTGTGTTGGTGCTTGGTGCCGCTGTGTTACATTTGCGCTGCACAATGAAGGGTGCTACAGTACTCTGCTTCAACCGCCTCAAGAGACGAAACATAGCACGAACATTGTCCAAAATCTGTACCACACTGCCTGCTTCCGATGCGTGCTGCACGCGTGCACCACAGTGCTTACGTGCACCACGGTGCCTGCGTGCACCACAGCAGCCGCGTTCACCGCATCGCCTGCGCACACCGCAGCGCGCGGGTGCACCACAGCACTTGCGGACATCACAACTCCTGCGTTGATTACACTTCTGTTGCAAAAATAAAATCTGCGCAGAGTCTGAGCGCCACTTGGCCCGAAGGAGAGGGCGGGCAACAATGGCGCCTTCAAGCACGCACGATAAGGGCGCACAACTGCGAGAACACGATTGCATTTTTTTCGGCACCCCAGCAGCTTGCCAACACCGCGGCGAGCCTGTGAGCATTTAGCTGCACTAGCGACGATAACACGGCAGAGTAGCGCAAGCCTCTCGGATAACGCCCTGTTAGCCACGCTGTGAACCTCGAGCCTGGAACCTCGATCCTCCGACCCCTATCCATAAAAAACGCTTGACCTCAGCTCGGGGCCAACCGTAGCCAGATGTTCGAGCTTCGCGCGGCCGCGGCGACGAGGGCCTCCAGAACTTGGTAGTCCCCAAACGTGGTGGTGACAACACCTGGCGGTGAGTCTCGGGCGATTTGGTGTCACCACCCGGTTTGGGGACTCGTGCGGTTTTCCGAGGATGTCCCGGACACTGGTGGGTCCAGGAGTCACACGTCCCCAAACCCAGCGGTGACCTTTTGGGGGATTCCAGGTCGCCACCTGGTATCTCACCACCCGGTTTGGGGGTTCCCAAAGAACCGCCCCGAGACTAAGTGGAAGGACGACTAGTACGACCGGAAACCAACGCCAACCAGGACGACTACTACGACTGCGATCCCGACGACCACACAACGACAACGACGACGACCACAACGACGCCGCGACGACGATCACGACGATTATGATGACGATCGCGACGATTACGAATACTACGACGACTGCGACTGTCACGACGACGGTCACAACGACGACCACACGTCGACGACGACTATCGCTACGATCCAAAGTAATCCGACGACCATGGCGGTTTCGACGACGACGACAGCCACAATGGCAAACACAACAACGATCACCACGACCACAAAACAACCACAACAACGATTACAAGGACACCCCGCTCCGCCCTCCAATTCCTTTGCCTCTTCCTCCTCCTATCCGTCCTCCTTCTCTTCCTCCTCCTCCTCCTCTATTGATACCATGCTTATTGGCGCGGCTGTTGCCATTACTTCTGCTACCAATGCCACTACCACAGCTTGCGCGGCCCTGCAAGCACCAAAGTACCAAATGAACCCAGCGCGTGTGCGCAAAAACTGCCAGGCGTTGCGTGTGCGACAATCGTCTGCGAGCGCAGCACCATGTCTGCGAGCACGGGCAATGAACCTGTCAACGCCACGATAGGCCGCGAACGTAAAAGTAGCCTGCGCGCGCCACAAGAGCCTGCGAGACCCTGCGCTGACGCATGGCGGCGCCGCGCCCGTGTCGGCACACCCCTCACGCGCTTCGTGACCCCGTATGGGAGCTTCCCCTGCGGTCACAGCGAGCACCGACGCATAGCGGCACCGCGCCCACCTCGGCACACCCGTCACGCGCTTCGTGGCACCATGAGGAGCTCCAAGCGCGGTCCAACTGGGCGCCGATGTACGGCGGCACCGCGTCCATGTAGGCACACCCTTCAAACGTTTCGTGCACGCTGCCGTATGGAAATCCACATGCGGTCAC